GTTTTCCACCTCTAAAGAGCATCACACTGGGGACCAGGGCTTTACAATGTGTACCTTTGAAAGACACCAAAGATGCAAATTATAGTAAATGATAATTGTTTTCTCCATCTCAAACTCTTAAAAACTGGAAGCATTGTCTTGTGCTTTTTTTGTTTAGCTTCAATTTTGCAGTATATCCAACAAGCTGGAAGGGACCTAATCACTTACCTTGTTGAACTGAAACAGAGATATAGAACTAGAAATGAAATCAATTTGTTGAGAGTGAGAGTGGGATCTTATGTATTGTATTTGACACTTTCATGATCCATAACTGAAATGTAAAATGCAGAAACACCTGTTTCTTTTTCGTTATTGTTGGAAGTAATCTTAAAAAGTCTATAATTTGTAAAATAATTTAATTGCTCTAATTAATTGCTTAATCGTTGGGGGGTTGAGGATCATGAGATAGTGTGTATAATAAAGAATGAAGAAATAGGTCATTTTCAGTTTATTTCATACCAATTTTTCCCCGCAGAACATACTTGTTTTGGCAACTGGCATGCCATAGAGTGTTATGTTGGAATTTATCATGCATTATTTCATAAGGTTGATTTCCTTCATGTTGTACATTTTGATCAATTTCTTGTAATAGTAGATGTTAAGTTTAAATTCCAGAGCAGAAAACTTGGATATAATGTCCAATAAGCAACTGATGGTGTTCACACATGTAGTTACTGATTTGGCATATGTTCACTAATGTAACTTTTTTTAACTTGGCACTATTTGATTTAGGACCTTAAAATTTGAGCTGCCTTGCAATCATTGATTATTGGCATTTATTTTTTTACAGAGAAGGAAAAATGGATGACTGAAAGAAGTATTGTGTTATATTTTAAAAGTTATATTTCCTTCTTTTCTAGGTTGCTGTAGTAAAACTAAAAAATGCAGATAAAGTATTTGCCATGAAAATTTTGAATAAATGGGAAATGCTGAAAAGAGCTGAGGTAAGAATCTTAAATATTTTAAAAACATTGATGGCATTTAGTTTGTTTCTATAATTTTACTATAGGAAGATACTTCTTATAAATACATGTATATTGGAGCACTTTTGTGAGTTGTCCTGTTAATTTTTAGAAGATGTAATCAAACTGTTAATAAATTTGTTTCACCAAATCTGGCTGTATTTCAAAATGAGAGAACATATATATCCAATATAAATTTTGAAAGCGGGAGCTATGTGGTACACTTAATCAGAGATACTGCTCTGGGCTACCCTGAGGTACTCCAATTTTTGTGTAGTGAAGTTGAAATGATTTTAAAGATAATGTTTACATTAAGGGATTTTTCATGGTGTGCTGACTGTAGTAAAATACCCATTTCTCAAATTTAACATCTTTGCTATTGAAACTCTTGAGCTAGAGCTGGGGAATACTGTACATTTAAACTCTGATAGCAGAGCCAGTTAGATAGCTCAGCGATCTAAAGCGCCTGCTTAGGCAAGCTTAGATAGGCACAGGGAACCACAGTTCCATCCCTAGCACCACATGCTGTGCCACCCCTACCCTCAGGGTGGACTGAGCCAGCCAAAACAAACAAACAAACAAACAAACAAACAAACAAACTCTTGATAGCTATTGATTTGGGTAAATTGTCTTCAGAAGAGTTGGACCACTAGATTTTGAGATTCAAAATGTGCCTGTTTTCATACACTCACAAATTATGAGTGTTATCAAATGATTTCTTTTTCTTTATATCAAAAGTCAGTTTGCAGGGATGGCAAGATAGCTCAGTGAATTAAGCTCCTGCTTTGGCAAGGGCAGGGACCAGGGTTACATCCTTGAGTGCTGTGCAGGGCCCCGCCTCCACCCCTAGGGTGCGATGGAGGCAACCCAGTCTGAGAGTGGTGGTGCAAGCCTATAACCCCAGCGCTGGGGAGGCTGAAAACAGGATGCAAATCTGAGCTGTGTAGTGATACCCTGTACCAAATACATAAAATGGGAAAAAAAAATCATTTAAAAAAATGTATTTGATATAGGGTCTTGGTATGCAGCTTGAATTTCTAGTGATCTTCTAGTTTTCAGCCTCCCCAGCACTGGGATTACAGGCACATGCCACCCAGCTCAGCACACTGGGAGGAGGGACAGGTGTGACATGTGGTTCTGGTGACCGAACCATGGTCCCTGCACTTGCCTAAGCAGGCGCTTAGTCTGCTGAGCTATCTTGCTGGCCCTTCACAAAACAATTTTTTGCTGACAAGCTGAAAAAACCTGATAGTTCTCATGTTTGGTTTGACCACCAAATCTGTAAAATGGAGACTTAAAATGATGATATGATGTATTGAGGCCTGAATTTTGGAATTCTTGCATTTTCAAATTTAAAATTCCATGTGTTTGTTTATTTATTTAATGAATTTAGGACAGGGTCTACAGGGTGTATAGGGTCTTACTACATAGATTAGAGTTGTAGTGATTCTCTTTTTTCTAGCCTCCCAAGCACTGGGATTACAAGGGCGTGCCACCACGCCCAGTCTCTCCATTTGTTTATTTTTAACCATGAAGATTTTGACTTTGCTTTCATCAGATAGTGTATCAGAGAGAAATACTCAGTTATTACTTAGAAGAATTTTTCTGTGATAATACTTTTGTGAAGCAGACAGGGAGAGAGAAGACTTCCTAGTAAATGAAAATCCAAAGTGGATATAATCACCTGTAGATTTTCTCATTGTGATGTATGATTTTAAGTATGTATGCAGGTTTTTTTTCTTTTCTTTTCTTTTTTCAGAGCCAGGGATTGCACTCAGGCCTTTGCGCTTGCCAGGCAAATGCTTATTCAATTGAGCTATCTCCTTAGCCCCCGTATGCAGTTTTATGTGCTACAGAAGATTGTTAACTTGATGAAAACTCTTTATGAGTGTACTGAAGAGAATCTTAGAATAGTGTGGCAGAATTACCGTCATTTTTATATATGACCCTTATTAATGTTTTAGTGTAAATATTCCTTCTGTTCTTTATCCCGGTAATCTCTTAAAGATAAAATTTAAATAATGTATTATCAAATATAGAAAAAAGTATAACTTGTACAGTGGCTGGGTGATGATGGCAAGCAAAGTTTCAATGTGACAATGCTACAAACAAGGTAGATGTTTACAGATCTTCTGTGCTTCACATATAGAGTTGGTATCTGAGGTACTAATAAGAATAGCTTAGTAGTATTTATGAGCAAAATCACACGATTTGTTGGAATTGCTTTATTTATTTATTCATTTAATTTAATTTTATTTTTTGCGGAACTGGGGATTAAACTCAGGCCCTTGCACTTGGCAGGGAAGCTCTTATTCTACTGAACCATCTCCCCGGCCCCTAATATATGTATGTGGACTTGTGGAGCTGAGGGCTGGTGGTAAGTGGTTGACATTGTAATGTAACAAGACTGATGAATAAAATAATTGAAATTGCACGATAGTGCTTTGGGAGAGTTTTAGTCTCTACTTTTGAATATGTTTGAAATTTTTTATTATAGTCCATTATATATTTTTATTTCATAAACTTTTTAGCATAGATTGAAACTCACATTTCAGTCTTTTCATTTGACTCAAGTCTTCAGAGTTTCAATTAGTTTGAAGTCATCAATCAGATGAAAGGATGAGTCTAGCTTGAATGTCTAGGAATTTCAGACAGCTGCTAATAGTAAGATAAAGCCTGGAGACAGTATATCTCCTAGGCTTTGATAACCTTCATTTCAGTTTAATTGTGAAATTAGATTTAATGGTAAATAGGTCACATGATTTTGTTTTCTCTTTCAGTGAACCATAGTAGGTAAAACTGCCCATTAAAGCTGGCTATTAAACTTTGTTTTGGTGTTTTCTCTGATGTTGCCATTTAATGTCTGGTTTTTGGAATTCTATGTGTTCAAATTAAATTTATAGATATATGTGGGAATTATTAAGGCCAGTTGTATAGCATTGTTTTGGGGATCATGACTAGGTAATTTACCTTGTGAGAAGTAATAACAAAGCACTTGTTACATATAGAATACTGTGTCATAATATGTTGTTTTTGCTTTTGGGTTTTTTTGGGGGGGGAACCGGGGACTGAACTCAGGCCCTTGCACTTGCCAGGGAAGTGCTTATTCTACTAAGCCATCTCCATGGGCCCTGTGTCATAATAATGGTATATCCATTAAGAAACATTACCTAGGGTTCTACATACTAAGATGGAAAGATGTTCCAATATATTGTGACCTGGGCAAACATAGATACTATTATAGTGTACCTTGATCTCATTTGTATAAAGAAAAAAAAAAGGAAAAACCAAAAAGAAGTGGGATACCATATGCATATATAATATATCTGTATCTATCTCTCTATATATATGTTTATGTATATTCTGAAATTTTCTAAGAGTATACTGAACATAAGAGTTGAAAGTGATAACTTTTGAACACACACTTGGACAATAAAATTGTCAGGGCATGGCTTAGGAGGGCTTTTACTTTCTATATTTCCTTTTCCATTCTTAAGTTTCTGGTACAGATTTTTCATTTTTAATTAAAAATTAAAGATTATGTATTACAGAATTATATAAAATATTTTTATTATTTATGTGATTCTTCAGACTATACTTTAATAATAGGGAAGCTATATTCAAATAAATAAAAATTTTAATGACTCAGTAAGAAAAAAGAAAAACAATTAGAAAAAATGGGCAAAGGAAGTGAACATCCATACAGAAAGTTCGTATGGCCATTAAGTATATACAGATCTGTTCATGTGCAAATGTAATTGGGAACTAAAAGTCTAATAATGCCAAATGTGTGTAAAAATGTGGGGACAAGAGGGACTTTGAATACTGTGGTGAGGTGGCAGTTAGGAAAAGAAAATTGCTATCATTGGTAAAGTTGAAATTTGCTTATATAAGCTAGAGATAACTGGGGGTTACATTGGTAAGTTCTGGTATACTCAAACAATGGCATGACATAATAGTTAAAAGGGAAATAGTCATTATTGAGTAAAAATGTAATCAGATAGCAAAAGGATAGATAAAACTACAACATTCATGTAAATTTTCCAAGTATAATTCACTTCTCTTATTTTGGACATAGATACATGTGTGGTCCCTGTATATTGATACATTGTAATATCTTCAAAGTATTTATTACATCAGGGAAGGAAAGGAGGAGACTAGGTAGTAGGAAATCTTACAACTTTAAAAATAAAAAGATCTGAAGGTTCTATGTAAAATGTAAATATTTGTATCATCTGAGTGGTAATTTGATATGTATTTATTGATTAAATTCTTTGCATTCTTACAAATTTGAACTATAGAACAGTGCTTTTTTTCATTTGAAATTTTTTTTTTTTTTTTTTTCCCGAATGCCCTCAGGGGTGGTTTGGCTGGCCGGGGTGTTGTGGGGATCGAACTACAGCAACCTGAGGCTGACAGCTTTGTGGAAGCAGGCACTTAAAGAACTGAGCTATGGCCAAGCCCCCTGAAATATTTTCTTAAAGTGTATTATTCCAGGAGTTCAGTTTCTGCTTTGAAACTTGAGTTGTTGAAAAGTCATATACTGACTAATATTGAATGTATTCCTTTTCCAGAGTAGTAGTAAAGTGTTCTCTAAAAAATTTTTTCTTTCTTTTGCAGACAGCATGTTTTCGTGAAGAAAGGGATGTATTAGTGAATGGAGACAATAAGTGGATTACAACTTTGCACTATGCTTTCCAGGATGACAATAATTTAGTAAGAATCATCTTTATATGTATTTCTATTCTAATAATTTTTGGTGGTAAAATTTAGCTTTCTTTTAATCATTATTTAAATGATTCTAAATAGAAAAGGCACTGCATTTCATAGTGTAAGTTAAACATGTGACATGATAAATTATTTCCTTTCCATTGAATTATAAGCAAGTCAAAACCCAATCTAAACTGATTTCATTTCTATCATTTACATTTTAAAGAAGATATTCAGAATTTTTCCTTTTTATAATTTTCTCAGTGTATTTCTTCATAGTGTTTTGTTTCTTTTTAGATTTTTACATATTTTTCGTGAAGGTCATGTGCTACATTAAGTAGAGCCAAATTTATTATAATGAACTATTTCACAAAAATGGGGTAAGATGTTGAGGGAAAATAAAAATATTAGAAACTCTACCAATTGAGAATAAATAAGGATAAAGAGAGGCACAAGACCCAATTAAGATAGTGCATGCTTATAATACAAGTTACTCTGGAGGCTGAAACAAGAGTGACACAAGTTCAAGGCCAATTTAGCAATGATTTGTTTCAAAGTAAAAAGAGCTGGGGTTTGAACTCAGTGGTAGAGCACGTGTAATAAGTGTAAAGGCAAGTAAATAATATTTTCATATTTCAGATGATGAAAATAATTGCATTTATTTAGAGGCATGAAATAAATGATTCTTCTAAGATAAATATAAATTAGCTAAATTGAGAAAGAAAAAGAGGCAGAGAAGATATAGCAAGCAAAAGCATACAGATTATGAACAACTTGTTTCATTCATGTTGATGGAAAATGGATTAAAAGATTGGAGGACGAGGGAGGAGAGATGAGAGATCGTGTCATGTTGTTTCTTCCATGCTTTGCTAAGTAAATATGGTAGTGACAATTATTAGTAGCATTTTGATCACTATACATATTGCTATATTGTAAGAATAATCTTCAGATTGGCTTTAATGCATAGGAGAGTGGATTTTTAAAAGTGCAATAAGTGGCAAAGTATTGTGGTTCTTATGCAGCTAGACTGCAGCTGTACTGATAAAATACAGTACTGTACAGTAAATGTTTACATGGTCTGAATAGACATCACCACATTTTGAATTCATGGGAAAGAAGTGATCAGAAAAATTAGATAATTGAAAACAGAATTTCATATCACAGCATAATTTCTTTTCAAAAGCAAAATACATGAATGAGTCTGCAGTATTCCAGAATAGCTAATATGTTAGCTGGGCAAGGAAAGCCATTTACCAATGTTAACTAAGCCATTCTTGAGTGCAACAGCCTAAAAAGTGTGTTCAGGGACAATAAATGTGTCTAAGACTCAGCCATTTGTCAAGAACAGTTGCTTCAATCATTGAGGACTTTGGGAACAACACTGGTTCAATTTAGAAGTAGGAAAAATTAGAAAGCTTATATTTTTTCTTATTTAAGTACATACATAATATTCTTGATTTTTGCCTCTTCACCTACAGCCCTATGTAGTATTTTACTATTTGGTGTTTGATAGTATAACCTGGCCAGCTTCTATTGCAGGTGATAGTGATATAAAAAGTAAACATGTACAACTAAGTAGTGCTTGGAAAATGGGAAAACATGTGTGCCTGCAGAAGACGAAGATGAGGCACCAAAGAAGTAACTCATACAAATGGCCATAAAAGAAAGAAGATCAAACTACTGCATCATGGAAATGAAAAAGGAGAAAGGGGTCAAAGGCGCTTTCCTAGCATGCTTGAGTGTAATCGCCAACAACCCGCACACATGTGCTCACACACTCATAGACACATAGAGGAAATGGTCAGTAGTGTTAAATATGGTATTGGGTTAATTTTTAAAAAGGACCAAAGATATTTTGCTTTCTCACAAACCTTACACTTCAGCCTCAGTGGAATAATTTCCATTATTTGAACATTCTCTGTGTAGCTCTGTATAGTTTGCCTTTAATATGTGGGCCATTCCTTTTCCCTTCTGCTGAAGTCCAGCTAACACTGTAATTTTTTTTTTTTTTTTTAACTTTGCTTTGAAATAGGGTCTGACTGAATCACTACATGAGGCGTGAACTTGCCTCTCCCAGTGCTGGGATTATAGGCATGTGTCATTGTGCCTGGCTTTACAAAATAACTGTGCTGCTGTTGCACGACTAAAACATAAACAATATTTCCAATTCTGTGGTAGAACTTCAGAAAAAGTTAAATAAAGGATGCGTCTTACTGTCTTTAGCTAAAGTAAAATTTAAGGTTTACATAAATCTGTAATATCATAGGAAAGGAGCTAGAGTTGTGCTTAGTGGTAGAAACTCTTGCCTAGCATGAATGAGACCCTGTGTTCCATCTCCACCCAAGGCTACATTTGTACACAGACACACACAGAGAGACAGCTGTGAGGTTTGTCTGATTATAGGCCAGATCCAGGTAATCAAATAATGCTTATAGAGTATTATATTTTGCAGAGCAAATTATGGGTTGTGACCTATTAGTAGGTTATAAAATCAAGTTAATGGGTTACAAACAGCATTAAATAGGGAAGAATATGACAGTGTTCATAGCAATTTGAGTAAGTACTGTCTTGTGACACATTTAATGTATGGAATCATATAAATCATATATATTACTGTGAATTATACTTTGAATTATTTAAAAACAATAGTACTTTGTATGTATTAGTCACTCAGTTATTAAATTGCATGTGAAGTATAAGGAATGACTGTACCATGCAGGTATAATCTGCATAGATATATCAGCAAAATCTACAATTAAATACATTGTATTTGTTTACCAAAAGTATAGCATTTATATTTTTTAAGTTTTCAGATAAATGAAGAGTAACATTTTCCATTATACTGTAATCCACAATAGGGAGAACATTATGCATTCCTTAAATCTATATTTTGTTATAAGAATAGAAATAAATATAAAAACTTGTACATATAGAAATAAAGTGCCCAAATAATAAATTTTATATAGCACATTTTTGCCAGGACTTGAGGAAAAAAGCCTAAACTGTGATTTATAATTGCAATTTTAGTCTGATCTGCACTCTCTTTGCCTTTGATGTTGTTTGTTTACCATTTCTTTCTCAGAGACATTTCTCCCAAAGAAATAGTCCATATATAGAGTATTATTAGTCTCAGAATGATTTTATGATCTTATCTAAAATTGTGAATGAGTATACTAGAATAAGTTCAATTACAATAAAAGTTACAGAACATTTGGGCAGGGGCACTAAAATACTCCAGTAGTCAAATCTTGTGTCATCTGCCTATTTTTCTTTAGTTTGGGGAACGTTTGTCATCCATTAGTGTAAAGAGTCAAGTTTTGGGTTTTCAGGGAGGTTGAGGTAGTAGGATCACAACTTGGTGGCTATCCTGAGCAATTTAATATAACCAAATTTTATCTCAAAAACAAACCAACTAAACAAACAGATGCTCAGTGTTGTAGTGTCTCTGAGTTAGATCCCCAGTACCGCCTCCTGCCAAATCAGAGGTCTTGCTCATTACCATAGTTGTTTTTTGAACAATTGAAATATGTATGTGTGTGTGTGTGTGTGTGTGTGTGTATAATTAATTTTATAGAGAAACAAATAGCAGTGAGACAGTTTCAAAACTGATTAGTAGAGATGCAGTCCTAGCCCAGGTCCAGTGAGTGTGTGGGAGAGCTTCCGGCTACCCTGCGCCGGTGGGACCCACTACTCATCCCAGCCCAGGCACAGTGTGGGCGAGACCCTCTTCCACCCCCTTGGGACTCCCTCCAACACTCCGCAGTACTTCCCCCACCCCGCCTGCTGAGCAGGAATTTCTGCCATGTAACTGGAACCCCCAGAACCAGTCCTACCCTAGGTCCAGTGAGTGTGTGGGAGAGCTTCCAGCTACCAAGCACCAGCTGGACCAACTACTCCTCCCAGTCCAGGCTCAGCGTGGGTAAGACCCTCTTCTACCCCTTGGGACACCCCTCACCACTCCACAGCACCTCCGCCACCCCGCCCACCGAGTAGGAATTTCTGCCGCGTTCTGGGAACCCCCAGACCCAGTCCTAGCCCATACCTGTGAGTGTGTGGGAGAGCTGCCTCTCCCTCCTAATCCACCTTGTCCCCTCCGGGCTTAGCTCAGACCTGGCATACATGCCTGGGGTATAAGCCTACAGCTGCCATACCTGCAGAGAGTGTAGAGGATAGAACCACCCAGCTAATCCAGGAGCAGAACATCTTGCCACAGGGGCACAACAGGTTCACCCTTAAGGGTAGCAGCAGGAAGGAGCTGAGCACAACAGCCAGACTCAAGCCAGGCATAGATGGATAAATCCAAACTTTGTAGATCAGAACCTGAACTTCAGTACGTGCTAAGGTTATAACTACAACAAAGATCTACAACAAAGGTCAGAAGACACTGCTACACAAAATGACGAGGAGGAACAAAATGCAACCTCAGAACCCAACCCCACCCGTAACAAGTGCAGAGTACACTAACACAGAACAAATTGGGAATCACACAGCTGAAAGCAATCAATCAGCGGCTTCTGAAGTAAAGAAACAGCTACAGAAAAGAATAGAGGAACTCAGATTGGAAATAAAAAAAGAAATCCCTGAATTAATAGCATCTGCAGTAAAGAATCAAATGCAGAAACATGTGGAGGAAACCCAATGCCCACCCAGAACTAGTGCGGAGGACGGTAGCTCGGATCAAATGCATGAAATAATAGCGTCGATAGTAAATAAGAAACAGCGGAAAGATATAGATGTAATCAGAGCGCAATTCTTTTCTGAAATAAGAAAAGAACTCTCAGAACTCATAGCATCTGAAGTAAAGAAGCAACTACAGAAACATAGGTAGGAAACCCAATCTGAAAAAAAACTGCAGTAAAAGAATTTATAACTGCTTCTAAAGAAGACATTGATTAAAAAATTGAGGAGATTAGAAAAATGACAGATTCCTTGAATGAGCAATACAGGAAAGAAATAGATGGCATGAAGCAGAGTCAAAGAGAGATAGAGGAAATTAAAACCTCAAT